AGATGGAGCTAAAAGTTAAGCCAATCTATTCGGCCTCCGAATGGTCGACTGACTTTTGACTCGCGTCGAAACGTAATAAAGTGACATCTACACTTCAATGTTAGCCAAAAAGCCGAAAAAACGAAAACTCATACAGACATTTGTTGGTAATTCAAGGTAGTTTACAAATATATTAACCAAATTATCCTACGAGGTCTGGTTCAAAATCTCGTTTTCGAGCCTATAGCCTATATGGCTACTTCACGCTGTAGCGTCTTCTAGTAAACGTGGCCTATCTCGCAGTACAGCTGTTGTACACGGGATCTCCATATGAGTCAGTATACATTGCGTCATCGTAGTGTGAGCATCTGAACGAGAATCGCCTCTACCAGAACCGATCAATCAACTACCAAAAAGAATAAATATTTCATACCATAGGCCATAGTGTGTGTATTTCTGTGTGTCCCAATCTAACTTATAAAAAGAGATGGAGCTAAAAGTTAAGCCAATCTCTTCGGCCTCTGATTGGTCGACTGACTTTTGACTCGAGTCGAAACGTAATAAAGTGACATCTACACTTCAATGTTAGCCAAAAAGCCGAAAAAACGAAAACTCATACAGACATTTGTTGGTAATTCAATGTAGTTTCCAAATATATAAACCAAATTATCCAACGAGGTCTGGTTCAAAATCTCGTTTTCGAGCCTAAAGCCTATATGGCTACTTCACGCTCTAGCGTCTGCTAGTAAACGTGGCCTATCTCGCAGTACAGCTGTTGTACACGGGATCTCCATATGAGTCAGTATACATTGCGTCATCGTAGTGTGAGCATCTGAACGAGAATCGCCTCTACCAGAACCGATCAATCAACTACAAAAAAGAATAAATATTTCATATCATAGGCCATAGTGTGTGTATTTCAGTGTGTCCCAATCTAACTCATAAAAAGAGATGGAGCTAAAAGTTAAGCCAATCTATTCGGCCTCCGNCAATATGGAATTCAGTTACGCAGTTATTATTGCATCTTGGCCAACGCAGAAGAGAGAGAGCGCGAGAAGAAGAAGTCCAGAGATTAGAAAGAGAAAGGGAAGCAGCACGAGCACAGGCAAGTACCGAACGCGCACAGCCACAAGACCCCGAAAAAGAAGATAACGAACAACCGTTATTGAGAAGAAATAGAGATGCGCCTGTTGCTCCGATTTATCCACCTATACGTATGAGTAACCTGCTATAAAGAATAACGATAGTAGACTCAAATCTCGATACATATACAAACGGAAATGATATCTTTTACAAGCAATTAAGTTGATTATCAAAGAAAACTGAGTTCTAGTAGATTTAATTTGAAAGTTGATTAGATTAATTGTTTTCTCTTCTTTATCTAACTACGAAAAATTTCTTCCCGATGATGAAAGTAATTAACGTTTTTTTTTTATTATTATATCTAGTATTTTTTAAATAAATTTTTGGGTACATAATATTTAAGAATATTTAAGATAAAGGAAAAATAATAAACATTGGTTAAATTCTTTTAATAAAAAAGTAAAAAATAAGTTTATTAAAAAACTCGACTACAATAGGAACCAGGGTCCGGGTGGCGGCGGAGGTGTTGACGTTTTTCGTAAACAAATGCTACATATCTCTTCTTCCTCTGGTTCCCAGGTCTCTGTGTGACATACAGGTTGATAATGTTCCATCTCGTTTTTGCGAAGTATTTTCTCAATCCTCCGCAAAACACGAGCGACCATCACCTCATGGACGGGTTGCCGATGGATGATGGCTCGAATAGCCAAAGCATAGCTCAATTCGTTTTTGATAAACTATAAAAAATAAGAAAATTTTTTTCAATTAGTTATGTAAAGTATTAACGAGTTAAAAGTATTCAATATTCGATTATTTAAAAGAAACAAAAAAAAAAACGATAGGAGTTTTGAATTACAAAGTACTTACTGGTGCCATTATAAACGGTTTAGAAAAATTTTCTTTTCTTCTTTTTCTTCGTGTGCACGCGATCAGAGTTCACAGTCTAATGATTTCGGTCCATCGATATTACACCGATCGGAGTCGGTCACTTAAACGGCGGGGGAGGGGTATCAAAATCTCACACCTTACACCAATACATACACACAATGCTGCGCATGAAAATGAGATATAATTGTAGTTCTTCACGAACATTTAAAAAAACTAGATACTTGCTCTCAGTGTCGTAAAGCTTTTTCAAATTCCTTGGTCAAAAAATTCAAAAAAAAAAAAAATAATAATAATAATAAATAATAAATAAATAAATAAAAAATTCAAAAAAAAAAAAAATAATAAAAAAATAAATAATAAAAAAAAAATAAAGAAATAAAAAAATACATATATTATAAAATATCATAGTTCATAAGTTTTAGAATAATGAGATTTTCTTTTTATACAATAAAATTTTTTCTATTAGGTCATAAGTTTGATTTTGATACATGTTATTCTTTTTACGTCATAAGATATTTTCATTGTAAAACATTTTAGCTAAATTACAAAAAAAAATTTTTTTTATATCTCTTATTATAAAATTCCTGATATACAAAAATACTAAATAGAAAGTTAGGATAAGTTAAATATACAAATACATTGTAATAATATTTTAATTTAGATTTAAGAAACAAAACTGTAAAACATTTTCCAACAAAATCAATAATTTGTATTATGGTATGATAACGAAATAGTAACAATTTTTGTATGATTTTAATACAGAGCGATTGAGTAGATGAAGTAAGAGAGAGAGAGAGAGAGAGTGACATAAAAACATAATCAGCACATAATTCAAAATGGAATAAGTCGTATTGTAAAACCTTTGTTTGTGTATAATTTCCGCATGTAAAAAGGGACTACCCTTATTCAGACCTTACACAATGAACAGGGACGTTCATTTAAAAACTACCCCTGAGATGTTACGACCTGCGTAACTATAATCAAAAAAATAGATAACTTCAGGCGGGTTCTGATAGCATTGATTATAAAATCGCGTCGTGAGAGAAAAGATTGTTTGTCGATGTCATGCGATGTCTGATTGTCAATTGAATATTGTGCAAGTGAATGGTTGTAATGGAGAGTCACTTCACACCTGATAAGGGTTGATTGCGAGAATGACACATATTTTTATAAATACAAATGTTTGTTAATTTGTCGAAAACTAATGGCTAGGCAAACAACGACACAATTAGTGATAAAGGGTGACATCAATTAGTTTTACCTAACGACAAGTAGAGTCGCGCGAGATAACTTGTATCTTCGTCTGCACAGATTTTAGTATATTGCAACGGAGCTGATAAAAAAATGGTCAAGTAACGCGCGCGTACGCGCGCCAGTCGAGTGAGAGTCAAGAGAGAGCAGCGAGAAACGAACTTCCCCTACTCGCCTACCGGC